GGGAGACCCTGTCTCAAAAAGACCAAAAAAAAAAAAATCAGAACCTGGGGGCTGGAGAGATGGCTCAGTGGTTAAGAGCACTGACTGCTCTTGCAGAGGACCTGGGTTCGAGTCCCAGCACCCACATGGCAGCTACAAACCGTCCTCAACTCCAGTTCCAGGGGAATCCGAGGCCCTGTTCTGACCTCCGTGGCATTGCACGACATGGGTGCACTCACATACATGCAGGCAATACACTCATACACATAAAATAAAAATAATAAAATATTTTAAAAAATCAGAACCTGGGGGCTGGAGAGGTGGCTTAGCAATTAAACAGAACTTGCTGCTCTTGCAGAGGACCTGGGTTTGGCTCCCAACACCCACATGATGGCAAATGTTTATATAAGTCCAGTTCCAGAGGATCTGACACTGTCTTCTGGCTTTCTCAGGCATTGCACCCACATGGTACACATGCATCCATGCACACAAACTCATACACATAAAAATAATTTTAAAAATTTTAATCAGAACTTGGCCCTAGTCAACATGGGACTCTCAGGGAGCCGATGCTAAGATGGGGTTAGAGAGGAAAAGAGCGGCCTGTGAAAAGACTGGGCAGGGAGTGGGCAGGACTTTCCCTCTTCCATGATCTAGACCCCACCCTACCACAATTGTCACCTTGCAGATCTTGGGGACTTACCCTCATGTCTGAGAGGTCTGAGTTCTGCCTATACTACCTTCTCCTGCTGTGCGGAGCCACTCACCCTTCCCTGACCTCCTTGGCTGCTGGTCCTTGAGCCTGAAGAGCTTCAGAGATGAGGACCCCTATCTCAGAAGAGCCCTGAACAACACACTCCCTGGCAGGTCTTGAGAGGGATACTGAGCTGACTCTTTTACCACCAACCACAGCTCCTAGACACTGTGTCCTTTGAAGATGCAGCACCACAGAAAGGCGTCTGATCCAGAATGCACATCCTGCAGGACAGCACCATCTTCACCATCCTTATGGGTCACTGTCCCCAGGACACAGCTGCTCCTCAAGGGTGTGGGTTCCTGGTCTTGGACCACTCCTGTCCTCTTTCGCTGAGAACTGGTCTCCCTGCCAGATGCTACATATGTGGACGCATACACCTGTGGGTGGGGACTCCATAAGCCCCTACATAGTGTCACAGACTGAGTTGGTAAGAAGGGAAACCTTGGGCTGGAGAAATGGCCCAGCAGTTAAGCCCACTGGCTGTTTTTTTTTTTTTTTTTTCAAAAAACCCGGGTTTGAATCCCAGCACCCACGTGGCAGCTAACAACTGTCTGTAACTTGAGTTCCAAGGGATCTGATGCTCTCTTCTCTTGTCCGAGGGCACTGAACAACACAGATGCATGCATGTAGGCATAACATTCATACACATAAAAGTAAATAAATCAAAAACATTTTTTTAAAAAGAAGGCAGCCGGGCGTATGTCTTTGAGCCCAGCACTTGGGAAGCAGAGGCAGGAAGATCTCTGTAAGATCAAGGCCAGTCTGGTCTACACAGTGAGCTCCAGGCCAACTGGGCTACAAGGAGATCTTGTCTCAAAAAGATGAGAGAGAGAGAGTAAAAATAAATGAGTGCAAGCCTGGCATGGTAGTGCACACCTTTAGTCCCAGCACTTGGGAAGCAGAGGCAGGTGGACTACTGTGAGGTC